GCCATCCCTATATGGGATCCGAACCCGGGGCCTTGGTGTTATCAGCACCGCACTCTCCCGAGTGAGCCACGGGCTGGCCCCAGAATTTTATATTTATAGGACAGCCGATGAAGTGTTTGCACAGACTTGACCTTGCTCATCAAATCCTCGTCGTATGCCCAAGAAGAAGGGCTCATTATTCCCCTTTAAAGATGAGGGAGCAGAGATTTGGAAAAAAGTGAAGTGACTTCTCCAACACCCATTTCAGATGTAGCAGAAGTCCCGCATCCTCTGATGTCAAGCTCAGATCTCATCCTTCCCGCCACAGCTGCTTGCTAGAATGTACTCACATTCTTACACCTTCACCTCCTTTGAGCTGCAGAAGCCCCATCCCTGAGCCCACCTGGGAATGCCATTGACCACATAACCAAACATAATTTATACAAATATAACTATGATAGCCAGTGCCTCGTGGACAGAAACTGCCTCATAATTCACCAGGTCCTCCAGAGAATCTAATCAAGTGGCAGGCAACTAGAAAGAAATATTCAGAATTGTAGGGGCTTGAGAAAAGAGCACAAAAAACCATCAAGTTCAACATCGGAAAGGCAATAGAAAGTGGACCCTGTTATAACCAAGTTGGTTATTACACAGACTGGCTTCCTACCTCAGACCAAAGCATGTTCCTTTTTTTTTCCCTTTTTGTCTTTTTTCGTGACCGGCAACGGCTCGCAACCCTCAGTGTCGCGCCCGTACCGGACCGGGACCGGCAACGGGATCGCAACCCTCGGTGTTGCACCCGCACCTCGCTCAGCCAGTGAGCGGCCGGTCTGTATGTGGGATCCGAACCCTCGGCGGGAGCACCACCGCACTCCCAAGCAGCGCACTGTAGCAGTGCGCCACCGGGCAGGCCCAAGCATGTTCCTTTAATTACCAGGACTCTGCCCTGGCGGAGCCATTCCTGTCCCTGACTCAACTGTACTCATCATGCCCACACCTGGGAACTGACCTTAACCACACATCCCTACATCTGGACTGCAGGTATTTCCATCTCTTTTATGACATCTACCTTTTGAAGTTTTTTTTTTTTTATTTTTTTTTATGTATATTCACTATAAGAGTAATGAATTGACATTATTCAAAATTTGGAAAACAGCAGAGAAAAAAGGCAGAGTGAGGGGAGAAGGTGCTGAGAAGCCTCATCACAAATAAACTTAACGTTCCCAAATTTAACCAAAAGTACTCATCCAAAGAAAGAAACGAGCTGTGAGAAACAGGAGGAGAGAGAGTAAGAGAGAGCAAGCAGCATGGAAGGTTATACAGTCTTATCTTTGCAGAGGCAGGTGGCAGTCAAAGGAAACTTTTAGCTCTATCTGTCATATTCTCATTTTTTAAAAGAAAAATGTATTCGGGCCTTCTGTGGAATTAAAAAATAATATTTCACTAAATGCCAAGTGATATCCTGGATCACATCCTAAAACAGAAGGCTTTAGTGGAAAAACATGAAATCCAAATAAAGCATGGAGTTTAGTTAATAAAAAATAATAGTACTAAAAGCAATTTTTCTTAAATGATGTCGACAATTGCACCCACATTTCCTCTCCACGAGAGTAAACCCCACACAGTAGAAACAAACAAGGATAAGCCAGTTGGTTTACATGGGCAAAATCTATAGATATAAGCATGACGTGTTTTAAGAGTTTTTCAACTACTATGAACTACATTACTTAGGGAGCCAAGTCAGTGCGTGATAATAGTTCTGATAGCACCTCCAGCGGAAGAACTCAAATATTGAGTCCAGAGCCTTTCAGATACAGCAGTAGTAAAGAATTAGTACTTAATGCATCACACTTTATCCATGACTTACGGAATCTTTGAGGATAATTCTCACAAACTAGAACCTAACCTACCAATCCCCCATGAGATTCAACTCCACTGAATCTACTTCCAGGCTTTTCTTTCATGCACTATTCATAATATGCATAAAATTTTGTCTTCTAGTATGTTTCACTTACATTGCATTCTAACATCTCTTCATGGTAATTCTGTAGTGTACGCGTCCATCATTTCTAACAGATGAACAACAATGCAGTAATCAGGTAAGTCATAGTTTAGTTATCCATTCTCCAAAAGCTAGATTTTTGCATGGTTTCCAAATTTTTGCTCCATTATACAAAAGACTGAGATTCAGCTTTATGACTAATAAGCTTTTCCTGTATTTCAGATTATTGCTTTAGGACAGAGTCTCAAAATTGGAACTACCACATCAAAGGGAATAGACACGTTTAGGGCCTTGAGATACATTTCAAACGGTTGTACCAATTTATGCCCATTGCTTCATGGCACTGCCTCTTTTCAAACACCCTTCAAAAAACAAAAAAGACACATAAACTTGACTTCCTAGAGTGTCTGCACAACTTTTGTTTTTAATTGGTTATACACATTCATGGAGTACAAAGCTGTCACCACTTGTGCCCAAGATGTGATGGCCAGATCAATACTATCAGCATGTCCATTACCACAAATTGTGATTATTCCCCATGTCCCCCACCCAATTAATCCCCAACCTCCCTGCCCCTCACCCCTCACCCCACTCCACAACCCTAGGTAAGTTCGCTCCCTCTGCAAATCCAACACACCACTGTGGTCTTTCCTCCCTTCTTTCTGCACAACTTAATTGAATTCATGTTTGTAACTTCTGAAGGGAAGGGAGGCCATATGCCTGGAATGCTATTAACATAACTGTTACAAATTGCTCCTAACAACAGATGGCCACTCCTGGTGCCATATTTCCAACCAAATAATCCAAAAGGCCTTGGTTTCTGATGAAAACTCTATGAGCAAGTCACCTGGTAGTGGAAGAAAAGCAAAGAGCTACTGACGCGGAGCCATCATGCTACTATAAGATTCATTTTATTCAGGAATAACGTTCATAACTCCCCTCAAGAAAGTAAAGCTAAAGGGTTGCCGTGGAGTGTATGGAAATATGGACTGTTTCATTCTATAAAGAAGAAAGAAAAAATATTTTTCTGATGCATAAAAAAATTAGTTAATATCAACCTAAAAAAGATCACCCCAAAATTAATACATGGTCATTTTATGAGATCTATCCTTCTTGACCTCTTACTTACATTTTTTACTGTGAAATCTCTGACGGTCCATTCTGGAAGAACAACTTCTGATGTCATTGCCACAGTTATGTCCCCGTAGTCCTGAGCCTGCGTGGAGGGCCAGTACTCCTCACACTTGGTCTAGAATAAAATCGCATTTTTACTAAAAGACTCAGATCACACCATCTGCAATCACAAAAGCCTCACAAGGGAGACTAGATATTGAAAACCGGTAGTAGGGATGGAATCAGTCCCTTAACTGGGTTCCGTCTGACCCTTAGAATTGTTCTTTTAATTTACAATTCTTGCCAACTCTTTTAAAATTAGAAGGTTTCTCGTGAAAATCCAGACTCCTGGCTTCTCTTAAAAAAAATCAGAAGATCGGCCAACTCTGGGCCCTCATTTCAGAATGAAAATTGATTTAGAGCCAAGCAGCAGCTGTCCCTTGACTTGGGACACAGTCCCCAGCCAGCTCCCTCTGGCCCATGGAGTAGCTGCTCCACAACTATTCACTGAACTAATCTCCTCCAATTGACCCATGACCCCAGGCAGCTAGAAGAAACTGCCCAATACTTTCAGAAATACACTAGTTGCAATACAAATACATACACCAATAAAGAGGATTAAATTAAATCATTTTGGAGTATTTGGTTTTTACAAAGTTGGTGAGCAGATGTGAACAGAAATAAAAACCAGGAAATGACTGCTCTCCAGGAATATCTGAATCCTCACATTTGGCAAATGACTTACTCTCTCTCTCTCTCTCTCTCTCTCTCTCTCTCACACACACACACACACACACACACACACATTCAACTTCCCAAGGCGTGCTCTACTGCAGGTGGTTTCCAAACCTGATTATCTGACTCACTTGAGAGGTTTGTTTTGTTTTAAAAACAGGTGCCTGGGTCTCACCTCCAGAGATTGTGACTCTGGCCAAAGGATCTAAATTTTTTCAAAGATCCTAGGATTTTTGGACCATTGCTCCCCCTACCCCCCAAGAAAAACATAAAAACAAAGAACCCAGGACTTGGACACACTGACACAGACCCAGCTCAGCCTCTCACCAGCTGGATATTTGTTGCTACCTTGGGAGTAAGTTCTTAAACCTCTGGGCCTCAGTTTCCTCCTCTGTAAAATAATAATACTCACAGGGTTGCAATAAGAGAGGAATAACGTGTGCGAAGTATCTAGTGCATAAAATACACTGGCTCCCCGCCCCTTCACCCAGAGTCAGTAACATCCTTTTCTATCCTGACTTAAGATGAACAAGGGCCCATCTAAATTCATCTTCATGTTCTCCATTAATTTAACAGCGTCATTTTCGTTTGTCTACCAGATATTTATGAGAACATTCCACGTACGAGGCCCTGGACTCAACAGCACTGTAAAGTTTATCTGCATTCATGAAACGATGTTCTTTCATTCCCATCGTAGCCTGTTCTCTTGATGCCAGAAGGGGATGCAGAAGCCACACCTCTGTGTGACGAGCAACACGAAGCGGGGCCCCATCTCTCACGGCTCTTTGTCACTTCCCCCTCCTTCATCCCAGCCATAGCACAGGACCTTACACACACCTGGGGCTGAATAGGCATTTGCTAACTTAAAGGGGAATAAAGAACATGAAAAGAAATGATGCCTGGTGGGTTCCCACGATCACCCAGGACGGTGCTACTCAGAGCGTGTACCCTGGAACGGCAACAGCAGTATCACCCGCAAACTGACAGAAATGCAATTCTGAATTAGAAACTCTGAGGTCAAGCCACCCTCCGGGTGATTCTGATGGACGTTCAAGTTTGAGAACCACTGGCTTAAGGAATCAACTCCTATCCCTCAAGTAATGAACCTATATAAAAAAATTCACAGAGCAATGTTAGGTCCCATTCTTCAGGCGCAGAATTGCTAAGTTCGCATGTGTTTTTCAATTCTCTTCACCTCCATTTATGGAAATATGGAGTTTTATTACTAGAAGAAATCTCATCCTTGAGGTAAGCGGCAGGGGGATTCCAGGCCATCCCAGGGGGAGGGGGTTGCCGAGACTTATCTGGGGATAAGTCTGAGATTTTGCTTCAGAAAAGATTTCCAGTGCTAAAAACTAAGTTTGAAAATCACTGAGTTGGCGGAATCCCTCATCTCACAGATGAAGAAGCTGGTTGCTCAGAGACATGATGGGCTCCCCTGCATTCACAGAGCTGATGAAAGTCGGAGCTGCATCATGAGCAGCACCTTGCTCCAGACCTGAAAGATTTTTCACCGCACAAACCCACCTCCTGCCATATCCTAACCCCAGCAGCAGCGACTTAATGAGACATCCACAAATGAACAGAATAATGAACACAGGACAGCCACAAAGGAAGGTAATAACAAAAAGAATTTTTAAAGATTTTTTTAAACTTTTATCTTACAGGAGAAAACAAGTTTCTAAGAATAAAAGTGCTAATGTTTGGCGGGGGGAGTGTTTTTTTAAAAAAAAAAATACCCTTCCACCACAATAAAAAGTAATTAATTAATTAATGTTAATTTTTTTTTTAATTTTTAAAAGATACTTACCCTTCCCTGTTCAACACATTTGGTCAACATAACAATGGCATATACATTTTTCTCCCAAACCATACGCCAAAAATCTTTCAAAGTGTTGGGTAAAGGTCCTTGTGCAGCAATAAAATCTTTCTTGGAATGGTAGCCCTAAAAATGGAAAACAACACATATTGAAAGAAACAGAAGGAAGCACTCTGAAGATTTCATCACATCGATCCAGTGCTATGAGACCATCCTCCACTTACAGGTATGTAGTTGGCATTGATGTAGTCGTCGGTTGAACGGGTCTGGACTAAAAGTCTGACACGGGAAATATCATCTGCGACATTAGAAGAAAAAAGATCCTGATGAATAAAGTTGCACACATGAGAGAAAAAAGAAGTACGAAATGGCAATACTGGGCTTTGTGTCTATGAAGATGCATAGCGTGGCATTTTACATATAAGACCTCATTCATTACATATAGGTCCCCATATACGACTGTGGCACAGAGAAGTTATGTGATTACCCAAGTAGAGCTACTAAATAGGAGGGCCAGGATTTGAAACGACAACCTGACAGCAGGGCCCAAGCTCTTAACCACACCAGACAGCTGTCCCAGATGAAATAAACCTATAACTACCAGCATCCATGGGTATCTGCCACGAGAAATGTGCTAAACAATTTTATTTACACCTCGAAACGACCCTACAAGCTTTTACCCTGTTTTACAGATGGGGAAAGTGAGGGTGGTGGAGATGATCTGGTGAACAGCAGTCAGAATCCAAATCTAGTGCCCTTTCCACTAGGGCAGGGTAGCTATCCAGGCGAACCTTTCCACCCTGCCTCTATTCTCATATAAAAAAGTTGTTATAAAAAGACAGTGCCAAATTCAAGATAAGAATGCATAAGACTGTTATGAGTGGAAGAGTCTAAAACACAAAATTCTCACGTTTTCTAAATGGTATTGTCATCTCAAAAACACACACACACAAACTTGCCCAATTCAAGTAATGAAATAATAACCTTAGAACTCCAAGTGTCAGGCTAAGCCATAAGCAGAACCACCTAACTTTCCTTGTCTTTACCTACACTATCTCCCTCCCCTGGACAAAATAACGTAACAATGGAAATCCAGTTACCAATGTAAGTCTCAGCCTAAAGCCTTCCCAATAAAACAACACCCAAACACCAACTTCCCACCTCTCACTCTGGATCTGAAAATCTGCACGACATTCATAAGAACAAGCCAACAGTCCTGAGATACACTTAGAAGGTTGAAATGGGACTCACCAGTCTAGTTTTAAAAGCCTTCTCTCAGAACATAGGCCAGTACCCCTTGTCAAGTACAACGGGGAATATGAAGAGAAAGAGCCCAGGAGCTAGAAAATGCTGAATCTAAACAGATGTTAATGTTTTGGACCAGGGGGAAAAAAGCACAAATTCAAATAAAAAAGACAACGTCCTGGTGTAAAAACCATCTGCAAAGTGTATCAATTTGGGCTAGATCAGAACATGGCTATGATCTATGAACACTTCTGTGTCCTACTTCCTACCCCAAAGAGACCACAGTGAACTTCCCATGGAAAAGTATTTATATTTTGTCTAATGGTTGATGCAATACATTATTCTCATTTTCAACTCAGTTTGCTAGTTTATCCTTGTTGGTTAGGTTGCTGACATTGTTAATTCCCCCAAAACTGGAAAGAATCTAAATATAATTCACATTTAGCTATGGAATGCACCCTGCCCATCAGAGATGTGTCTAAACAAACAGAAATTGTGACTCCCCGCCTGTTGTCCCTCTGCACCCTTTCATTCCAGAACTACATAAATTAAAATAAAGGGGCTGTGAGAGAGATGGGTTAAGTAAGAGTCCAGACTCTGGCCTGTTCCCTGGACAACACTGACAGACCTGGCCCAAAGCCTGGTTTTGTCATTACTACCTGTGTGACCTTGGAAAAATAGATGGGTTAAGTAAGAGTCCACACTCTGGCCTGTTCCCTGGACGACACTGACAGACCTGGCCCAAAGCCTGGTTTTGTCATTACTACCTGTGTGACCTTGGAAAAATCACCTAACCACTCTGTGCCTCATTTTCCTCATCTGCAAAACAAATATTCTACTACTTACTTCATAAGGTCATTGTGAGGATTAAATGTAATATACCTAAATACAGCACTTAGCACACAGTAGGTGACTCATAAATGATTGTACAAGTGGCAAGCTAGCATCACTAATTCCCCTCCCCTCTACTGTTAGAGATGTGTTGTCTAGTGACTGAGAAAAAGGGAAGATGATGTGGATAAAATCACTTACAGGGCAGGACATTATTATAGCGATTCTTTCCTCTATTCTCGGCCAATTCAGCTACATACTTAGGTTGACTAATTCCAACAAGCTTCAGATCCTGAAAACAAAATAAGTGAGCTGTTCATTTATGGAGGCTTCACGTGTTATTTATACTGAGCACAGAGTGTGACAGGATACAGTGGGAATGCAGAGGTGAGACAGGTTAAACTGTGTCCCCTAAAAGATACGTTGGATTTCTAGCCCCTAGTACCTATGAGTGGAAGCTAATCTGGAAAGATGGTCTTTGCATTTGTAATCAAGTCAAAATGAGGTCATACGGAGTAGGGTGGGCCCTTAATCTAATACGACTGATGTCCTTAGAAGAGGAAAAGAGACAAAGAGACACAGACACACGAGGGGAGACGGCCACGTGAGAATGAGGCAGAGACTGGAGTGATGCTAGCACAAAACCAAGCAATGACTGCGGCTACCAGAAGCTGGGAGAGGCCAGAAGGGACCCTCCCCCAGGGGCTTAGCAGGAGCATGCCCCTGCCAACACCTTGTTTGGCTTCCAGAACTGTGGGACAATAAATTTCTGTTGTTTTAAGCCACCCAGTTGTGGTACTTTGTTATGCCCACTCTAGGAAACTAACACAGAGATTACAATTTTAAAAAAGGACAATTCTTGCCTTCAAGGAGCTTACACTCTAGAGGAAAGGTATAAATGGAAATAACAAACGTTACAAGGCAGAACTAAACAAAATGCTGAATACTGGTAACAAACAACATGGCACAGGTAAAACCAGTCAGTCTAAGAACACAGAACTCAAGTCCTCCTAGTGGGATCCGAGAAGACCAGTGGTGGAGGTGGCATGTGAGCTGTGCTGTGAGTGGTGAGTAGGATTTCAGGCGAGTGAAGGCAGAGACATCGTGACAGGGGCAGCATGTGGAGGATACACATGCACGACATTCTGAGTGGGGTCGTTCCTGGGCTGGTCTCGGGGACAGAGCATGGGGGACTGAAAGGCAGACACTGGCCAAGAAGCTCCTTCTGCAAGCTTCACATAAGCCTCACCAGGCAGCCTGGACCACAGGCGTCAAGCCCCAGACCTCTAAATGCCCCATGTGTGTCTTCCTTCCAGCTTATAAATTTCCTAATAATTCTAGTGAATAGTCCACTACTTGAATTCCCAGTTTCTATATCTCTCTGGATAATCTTTAGGTTTCAACAAGATTAAATATGTAATCCACTATTGGGACATCTGAGCACTCATGGTCAACAGTGGGACCCCCCTGGGGACAGGCAAAATCCCCCCTCTCTTAAGAGGGTAGCCTCTTACCCAAAGCTCCAGTGTAAGACAAAAAAGGACAGTTCTCCAAATTTCAGGAAAAATGTAAAGCAACTGAAAACACAATATCTACAAACACATACTTCATATTCTTCTG